AATTTTTAAATGAGCCAAAGTAAACCGAACTAGCAAAACATAAACCTGGTGTCAACACCATGCACACCAACATAAGTGTGACCTTCGACATGACAGTTGCTACAGCATAATCAAACAGCTCTGCAATACTTAAAAAAAAACAAAAACAAAACACTCTTCTATAGAACACAGCATGTAATGCCCTTCCGCAACAATAATGTGAAACAAAATAGGTTGGAGGGCCAAAGTTAAAAGAAGTGGCGAAAACGCCACAAATTTTACGAGCCTATGATTGTCATCAGATGACATTTCCGGCCACCTTAAGCGCCGCAAGAAGTACATTATGAAGTTACGTCACAGACATGCTTTGCCGCTCACGCGTCCAGCCCTCTCTTCTCGGGGAGGAACGTAGACCGGACTCGAGAAAGCGGCGGAAATCGAGCCTAACGTGTCCTTGGAATGGAAATTGGTTCAAAAATTAGGAGGGTTGAAAGTCAAGGGCGAAATACTCCTAGCGTTTTTCTGACGGAGCCAAAAATTGCTTCGAATAATCAGGAGGTTCGAAAAACCAGAATTCACAGTACTTCACACGAATGACACTATGCAGTGGTCTCAAACATTCTTGTCGTAATATGGTGTAGTTTCTTCGCAAAACTTGTTTAGCTGAACAGGTTATTCTTGTTAGGCCGTGTAGTTTTGCTGTAGAACTAATGTTGCATTGTTTAACAGGTTTCACAGCACATGAAATAGTCCATTGACAGAGATGTTTTGCTTTTACATTGTGGGACAGTTTCGTAAAAAGTGAAACTGTTTTTTTGTAGGCTATGAACAAGTTCTCTTTTTCAAGTGTTACACTTGTTGTGAAAGAAAGCACGAGAAAAATGCTTGCGCGAGTTTACTCTGTAGCGCGAAAACAAGAGGGGTGCGTCGTAGTTTACCTTCTATACTGTAAAACCTGAATTAAGCAGACACCCCCAGGAAATGCTGTAATATCCGCTTTGTACAAAGTAACCGAGTAAAACAGGTTTCCATGACATATTGTTTTGGGAAAACAAGTCTTCTTGCGATGAAATCATCTGTTTGAATTTTTTTCAGTTTCTGGTGTTTTATTATCCTAAGGACGTCATGAACTTTTTGATGGCAAGTCACGGGTCCTTTCCATTAGTGGTAACAATACCTGGGCAGCATAAGGTTTTTCCTGTATCAAGCATGTTGGCTGGTAGAATCTAAAATATGATACTAGTGTCTGTTTGATACAGGTTTTAAACAATAGAAATGACCTTATCTACTGTCCTCTTTTAAAAAAGGGTGTCTGCTGCACGCAGGTTTGATTGTACATTAACTATTGGAACCACTGCATTGTGTAGTGCCTCTCACGTAGTTTTCCTTGGAACAGAAAAGGTTCTCCTTGGGTTTTCAAGTTTTGTCAAGCTGTTGTGAAATTCCGACAGAAGTCACAATCTAGCAAGAAACGTGCCTACCATGTAGGCTGCTGCACAGAGACGTACATGTTTCTGCAAACAATTTTTTTCATTGTTTTGCCACCATTGAAAAGATATTTTTCACGTGCTTCCACTGTTACTAGCCTTGGTGGCAGTTTCAGTTCAACTTGTGAGAGTTTACAAATTGTCACCTGTTCTCAGTTCCTGGGGTCGTTAGTATAGGCCAACTGTTTGTTGTTGTTTGTTTTTTTGTCAAGCTGTTGTTTTCAGGGTCTTCACAATTGAATTGTGTGCTCGAAATGGTGTAGTTAAAAATGGACGGATTCAAAGTTATCAATGAAGTTTTCAATCAGAAATTGAGCCAAGTGTTCAGTGTAAATAATGTATATGACGGATGTTTTCAATCAGGAATTGAGCCAAATGTTCCATTCATGTCGCAGAAACTGATGCAACTGTTTCTGAAAACTTTTCAGAAAGAGAGTTTCTTAGTTTAGACAGCTCCGTTGTCATGGTGAAGCAGCGATGGGGAGAAAACAGATGCATCTTCCTAAAATATTTTCAGTGATCATTTCAGTCCAGGAACAAATTTAAGATTTGTTCCCTAAAACGTTCAGATTGTTGTTCAATCAAACTGGTGTAAACACTGATAGTCATCATCTTCAGGTCAAGTGGTGTTATCAAGCAACATCACTGATGTAAATCACAGGCGCATTCTATTCTCGGAGGAAGGATTGTGATTAGAGAAACTACTTGTTTTACAAGTACTATGATGTTCTTCTTAATGTTCCTGAAGGCTAGAAAATCCACTTCAAGTATAAAGCAAGTCTTTTTTGAAGTGCATCTTTTTTTTTATCCCAGATTTGGTTGAGTTTGAAGAAAACAATTTCTACTATAATGGACATTGTGTCTAGATTTTTTTGAAACCTTGGTGGGAGGGCTGTTGAAATGACTTCTCGCCTAAACCTCTCAGTACTTGTACCATAAACGGACCTGTTTATTATGACGTAATGCAGTTCAGTGTAAATAGTGTACATAATGAGTGAACATTGTCAAACCCCTTGTGGTTTGGCCTTTTTATTCAATTCCATGGAACGAGAGTAAGACTTCCCTAGTTTTTGTAGTTAAATAGAAATGTGAAGTTGCGACTGCACGTTTGCAACTGTCCATGTTTGTTCCCTCAACTGTTTAACCAAAAGCTGAGGGGTACTCTATCTTAAAGAAGGGCCACTTAACATTGATGTTTTCATGGCAACCAACTAGGATGACCCTCGTACTGAGGTCTATTGTTTTAGGCTGAATTTTAATATATCGAAATGGGTCTATTGTATTATCTTAATCATTGAAATACTAGCAGACACCTGGTGTGTTTCATTGCTCTTTAGCAGTGTCAAATGTGATACTTGGACATTTTTCTGTCAAGAGTTTTTAATTGTTTACTATCCGAACAAGAGACTTGAGGAACATTGACATGAGGTACCAAGTACAAAGAGACTTCAGATAAGAAGTACTTGGAACTGTATAAAGAGAAATCAGATGGAAATGTGATGTCATTATTTGTTAAATATTTTTTAATAAAATCATTTTTCTGTTTAAATGTTTTTTTCTGGTTGCTGTTGGTTTTCACGGAAGGTTCAGTTATTCTTTCAATTCTCAAGTGGTTTCAAATTGTCCCAATCTTTGTCGCGTGCCTGCTTCAGACGGCCATTGCTGAAAATGAAGCTGACAAAATGCAGTGATGCGGGACAATCGTGTTTAGATATACATGACCAATCAGAATGCACGTTATATGATCACAATTTATAAATATTTCTATTTGCGGTAGACAAAATTAAGTCAACCCACGGTAGTTATCCAGATATTTTTGCAGGATTTCCCCCTGGGGGAAAGGGACTCCCAAATGAAAAGGTCGGGGATGCTGGTCGGAAAATGTGAATTAAACCCCTAAAGGAGACGAATCTGAGGGAAATAAGAGCGAGATGACGAGTATCCATACCTTTTCATATTGAAGTTCCCTCGGGGGTATTGTGGATGCGCGTTGGGAAAATTTGAATTAAACCCCTAAAGGAAACCAATCTGACGGAAATAAGAGCGAGATGATGAGCATCCCAACCTCTTCATATTGAAGTTCCCTCCCTGGGGTATTTAACGCGGGGCCTATGATTTGCGCGCTGTTTGAGTTAGACACGTAACCCAGTGATATGGGAAGACTGATGCAACACGCTCCTCGAGTTCTCCGCGCGCTCCTTGTGTCCCTCGTGAAAGT